TGTCTCCCTCTGTCATGGCAACCAGCAATATTCAAAATAAGGGCTACTGGAAAGCACACAGGCTCATGCCTGTAATCTCAGCGACTCAGGAGGCCAAGGGTGGGAGGATGGCTTGAGGCCAGGAGTCTAAGACAAGCCTGGGTAACATAGCAAGACTCATTATCAAAAAAAAAAAAAAAATCTACTTTGGTGTCATACTGGCTTTTGGAGGGAAGTGTGAAACTGCCAGCTGGCATGTAATGGATACATAGTGTGAAGTAGCAATACATTTTTTTATTTTGAGACAGAGTCTCTGTCACCCAGGTTGGGGTGTGGTGGTGTGATCTTGGCTCACTGCAAACTCTGCCTTCCAGGTTCAAATGAGTCTCCAGCCTCAGCCTCCAAAGTAGCTGGGACTATAGGTTCGCACCACCACACCTGGCTAATTTTTGTATTTTTGGTAGAGATGGGGATTTGCCATGTTGGCCAGGCTGGTCTCAAACTCCTGACCTCAAGTGATCCTCCCACCTCAGCCTCCCAACTGCTAGGATTACAGGTGTGAGTCACTGTGCCTGGCAGCAATACACATTTTATAAATTGATACATAATGTCACATATTGATGGGTACATGTACCTGTTACATGCACAGAATATGTAATGATCAAGTCAGGGTATTTGGGATATCCATCACCTTGAGGATTTACAATTTCTTTCTTTCTTTTTTTTTTAAGATGGAGTCTCACTCTTGACACCCAGGCCAAAGGGTTGGAGTGTAGTGGCACAAGTTGGCTGACTGCAACCTCAGCCTCCAGGGTTCAAGCAGTTCTTCTGCCTCAGCCTCCCAAGTAGCTGAGATTACAGGTGCCTGCCACTAGGCCCAGCTAATTTTTGTATTTTTAGTAGAGACGGTGTTTCACTATGTTGGCCAGATTGGTCTTGAACTGCTGACCTCAGGTGATCCACCTGCCTTGGTCTCCCAAAGTGCTGGGATTACGGGTGTGAGCCACTGCACCCAGCCCAAGGACTGACCATTTCTATGTGTTTGGAACATTTCAAGTCCTCTCTTCTAGCTGCTGCTTTGAAATACACAGTACATTGTTGCTAACTATAGTCACTTTACTCTGCCATCAAACATTAGAACTTTTTCTATCTAATTGTATGTTTGGTAACCCACATGTCTTCATCACCCCTCTCCCATCCACAGATCCAGCCTCCAGTATATGCCATTCTCTTCTCGGACTCTTTGAGATCAGCTTTTTAGCTCCCACACGAGTAAGAACATGCAATATTCGTCTTTTTGTGCTTGAATTATTTCAATCATACCATAATGACCTCCAGTTTCATCCATGTTACTGTAAATAATATGTTTTTTTTTTTTTTATTGATACGGGGTCTCACTTTGTTGCCCAGACTGGAGTGCAGTGGCATGATCATGGCACTCTGTAGCCTTCAATTCCTGAGCTCAAACAATCTTCCTCCATCAGCCTCCCAAGTAGCTAAAACTACTGGTGCACAGCACCACACCTGGTTAATTTTAAAAGACTTTTTGTTATTTTTATTTATTTATTTTTTTGAGACAGAGTTTCGCTCTTGTTAGGCAGGCTGGAGTACAATGGCGCGATCTTGGCTCACCGCAACCTCCACCTCCTGGGTTCAGGCAATTCTCCTGCCTCAGCCTACTGAGTAGCTGGGATCACAGGCATGCGCCACCATGCCCAGCTAATTTTTTTTTGTATTTTTAGTAGAGACAGGGTTTCACCATGCCGACCGGGATGGTCTCGATCTCTTGACCTTGTGATCCACCCGCCTCGGCCTCCCAAAGTGCTGGGATTACAGGCTTGAGCCACTGCACCTGGCCGACTTTTTGTTAAATTTAAAAGACTTAATCAAAAAAAAATTTAGTCTGGAGTGCAATGGCGTGATCTCGGCTCACTGCAATCTCCGCCTCCCAGGTTCAAGTCTCCTGTGTTGCCAGGCTGCGGCTGTTACTTGCAGCATAATCTAGCCTATCCTTTCTAATAAAGGCATTGAATTTGAGGGACAGTATTATAATGAGACCATCTGGATGTTCCAAAATATGTTTATATGATGTTATTTATATTATTAAAACAAAAGTTAAAATTTTCATAAGCAGAGTGACATTATGATTGTTTAGGAAAATGTCCTTATTTTTAGAAGATGTGTTTTGAGTGCTTAGGAGTTTTTTGGTTTGTTTGTTTTTGAGACAAAATCTCATTCTGTCATCCAGGCTGGAATATAGTGGCGTGATCTTGGCTCACTGCAACTTCGGCCTCCCGAGGTTCAGGTGATTCTTATTCTACAGCTACCCATGTAGCTGAGATTACAGGAGTGCACCTCCATTCCTGGCTAATGTTTGCATTTTTAGTAGAGAGAGATTTGCCATGTTGTTCAGGCTGATCTTGAACTCCTGGCCTCAAGTGATCCTCCTGCCCCAGCCTCCCTAAGTGCTGCTATTACAGACTTGAGCCACTGCTCCTAGCCTAAGTGCTTAGGAGATTTTTGTTTTATTTTGTTTTTTGTTTTCTGAGATGGAGTCTCACTCTGTTGCCCAGGCTGGAGTGCAGTGGCGTGATCTTGGCTCACTGCAACTTGCACCTTCCAGGTTCAAGCAATTCTCCTGCTTTAGCCTCCCAAGTAGCTGGGATTACAGACACCTGCCACTGTGCCCAGCTATTTTTTTTGTAATTTTTAGTAGAGACAGGGTTTTTTTTTTTTTTAATTTTTTATTGGATTATAGGTTTTGGGGTACATGAGCAGAGCATGCAAGACAGTTGCGTAGGTACACACATGGCAGTGTGCTTTGCTTTTCTTCTCCCCTTCACCCACATTTGGCATTTCTCCCCAGGCTATCCCTCCCCACCTCCCCCTCCCACTGGCCCTCCCCTTTTCCCCCCAATAGACCCCAGTGTTTAGTACTCCCCTTTCTGTGTCCATGTGTTCTCATTTTTCATCACCCACCTATGAGTGAGAATATGCGGTGTTTCATTTTCTGTTCTTGTGTCAGTTTGCTGAGGATGATGTTTTCCAGATTCATCCATGTCCCTACAAACGACACGAACTCATCATTTCTGATTGCTGCATAATATTCCATGGTGTATATGTGCCACATTTTTCCAATCCAGTCTATTATCAATGGGCATTTGGGTTGATTCCGGGTCTTTGCTATTGTAAACAGTGCTGCAATGAACATTCGTGTACATGTGTCCTTATAGTAGAACGATTTATAGTCTTTTGGATATATACCCAGTAATGGGATTGCTGGGTCAAATGGAATTTCTATTTCTAAGGCCTTGAGGAATCGCCACACTGTCTTCCACAATGGTTGAACTAATTTACACTCCCACCAACAGTGTAAAAGTGTTCCTTTTTCTCCACATCCTCTCCAGCATCTGTTGAGAGACAGGGTTTTACTGTCTTGGCCAGGCTGATCTTGAACTCCTCACCTCATGATCCACCTGCCCTGGCCTCCCAAAGTGCTGGGATTACAGGCATGGGCCACTGCGCCTGGCCCCTTTTTTTTTTTTAAGTCTTCATATCTGCAACTTACTTTCAAATGGTTCAGGAAAAGTGAAACAGAAAGGGTAGAAGTTAATAATTTGCAATGCTCAATGAAAGCTACACATACTGTTCTTTCCACTTTTCTGTAGGTTTGAAATTTTAGAAAAGAAGAAAGATTATCATAAAGAACTTAGGGGGTTGGGCGCAGTGGCTCATACCTGTAATCCCAGGATTTTGGGAGGTTGAGGCAGGTGGATCATTTGAGGTCAGGAGTTTGAGATCAGCTGGCCAAAATTGTGAAACCCCGTCTATACTAAGTAAAAAAAAAAAAGCTGGATGTGGTGGCACATGCCTGTAATCCCAGCTACTCGAGAGGCTGAGGCAGGAGAATCACTTGAATGCTGGTGGTGGAGGTTTCATTGAGCCAAGATCATGCCACTGCACTCCAATCTGGGCGACAGAGCAAGACTCTGCCTTAACAAACAAGCAGCAAAAAAAAAAAAAAAAAAAAAAAAGAACTCAAGGAGCACCAAGAATATGTCACCAGTTCTTGATTTCAGAAACCACTATGGTCAGTAAAAGACAATGACGTATTTTCAGTACAGAATAAATAGGACCAGATTTTTTTTTCTTTTCTCTTTCTTCCTTTCTTTTCTTTCTTTCTTTTTTTTTGAGACAGAATTTCCCTCTTGCTGCCCAGGCTAGAGTACAATGACTCTATCTCAGCTCACTGTAACCTCTGCCTCCCAGGTTCAAGGGATTCTCCTGCTTCAGCCTCCCAAGTAGCTAGGATTACAGGAATATGTCACCATGACCAGATAATTTTGTATTTTTAGTAGAGATGGGGTTTTACTATGTTGGTCAAGCTGGTCTTGAACTCCCGACCTCAGGTGATCCGCCCACCATTCTCAAAGCAGGAGAATCGACTGAGTCCAGGAGATGGAGGTTGCAGTGAGCCAAGAAGGTGCCATTGCAATCCAGCCTGGGCAACAGAGTGAATGAGACTCCATCTCAAAAAATAAAATAAATTAATAACAGGTCAAGTGTTGTGATTCACACCTGTAATTAATAACAGGTCAAGTGTTGTGATTCACACCTGTAATCCCAGGACTTTGGAAGGCTGAGGCCAGAGAATTGCTTAAGGCAGGGAGTTAAAGATCAGCCTGGACAATATAGTGAGACCCCCATCTATACAAAAATATTGTTTAAAAACTAGCCAGGTATGGGGGTGCACGGGAGTCCCAGTTAGTCCCAGCTACTCGGGAGGCTGAGGTGGCAGGATTGCTTGTGCCCAGGAATTCAAGGCTCAGTGAGCTATGATTGTGCCACTGCACTCCAGCCTGGATGACAGAATGAGATCCTGTCTCAAAAATAAGTAAAGGCATGAGTGAATGAAGAAATCAATCAATAAATAATTTAATTAATAACAATTAACATAAAATTAAAAATTCAGTTCCATAGCTCCATGAGCCACCTTTAAAGCAGTGGACAGCCATAGCTGGCTACTGGCCATAGCATAAGGCGGTGCAACTACAGTCATGTAGCACGTAATGACATTTTGATCGATGATGGACAGCATATACAAAAGTGGTCCCATAACATTATAATACTGTATTTTTGTATGTGTGTGTGTGTGTGAGACAGAGTCTCGCTGTGTCACCAGGATGGAGTGCAGTGGCACAATCTCGGCTCACTGCAACCTCCACCTCCCAAGTTCAAGTGATTCTCCTGCCACAGCCTCCTGAGTAGCTGGGACTACAGGTGCATGCCACCATGCTCAGCTAATTTTTGTATTTTTGGTAGAGTCAGGGTTTTGCCAGGTTGGCCAGGATGGTCTCAATCTCTTGACCTTGTGATCCACCTGCCTCAGCCTCCCAAAGTGCTGGGATTATAGGCGTGAGCCGCTGCACCTGGCCTATGATGCTGTATTTTTACTGTATCTGTTCTATGCTTAGATGTGTTTAGACACACAAATAGTTGCCATTGTGTTACAACTGCCTACAGTATTCAGTGCAGCAACATGCTTTACAGGTTTGTAACCTAGGAGCAATAGTCTGCAGCATATACTGTACGTGTGTAGTAGGCTACACCAGGTAGATTTGCGCAAATGCACTCTATGATGCTCACATGGTGAAATCGCCTAATAATGCATTCCTCAGCTGCATTCCTCATCGAGTGATGCACAGGTGTGGAACATTTCCATCATTGTGGAAGTTCTATTGGATCACACTGGTCTATACTTTTCCCATTTCATTATACTGCTTCCCTTGCCCATTCCCAAATGATAAGACACGGAGCCCTGTTCTCTAGAAGCTCACAGGCAACCAGGGAACCAAAGGTCTTTAATACAATGCAGAACTGTGCTGAGATGCGTTAGAAAGATGTGGAGAGCTTGCTGTGGGAGTTCAGCGGAGGAAACAAGTATTTCCGGGAGAAAGTAACTTTAGTGGAACCTCGAAGATGACAGGATAGAGAAGAGAGTGCCAGGGGAGGCACGTGAACCTGATGAAACAGGATCATTCCTTACTTTCCAGAAGAGAGATTGTGGCTGGCCACTTGCTTCTCAGCTCTGTGAGTTCTCCCCAAATTGATTTATTGATTCAGTGCTTCTCAGCTCTGTGAGTCCTCTCCAAATGGATTTATTGATTCGGTGTAATCCCAATTGGAACCCCAGCAGGGTGTGTGTATGTGTGTGTGTGTGTGTGTGTGTGTGTGTGTGTGCATGCGTGCGTGCACGCGTGTGTGTGTGTACACTGGCAACTGTTAGTTGACTTTTTTTTTTTAGACGGAGTCTCACTCTATCGCCCAGGCTGGAGTACAGCGGCGCAATCTCGGCTCACTGCAACCTCTGCCTCCCAGGTTTAAGCAGTTCTCTGCCTCGGCCTCCAAAGTAGCTGGGATTACAGGTGCATGCCACCATTCCTGATTAAGTTTTATATTTTTAGTAGAGACAGGGTTTCACCATGTTGGCCAGGCTGATCTTGAACTCCTGACCTCGTGATCCACCCATCTCAGCCTCCCAAAGTGCTAGGATTACAGGCGTAAGCCACCATGCCTGGCCCTAGTTGGCCTCTTAAGTTTATTTATTTATTATTATTATTTTTTGAGATGGAGTCTTGCTCTACTGTTCAGACTGGAGTGCAGTGGTGCAGTCTCAGCTCAGTGCAACCTTGGTCTCCTGGATTCAAGCAATTCTCCTGTCTCAGCATCCTCAGTAGCTGGGACTATAGGTGCCCACCACCATGACTGGCTAATTTTTGTATTTTTAGTAGGGCTGCAGTTTCGCCATGTTGGCCAGGCTGGTCTCAAACTCCTGACCTCAGGTCTCAAACTCCTGCCTCAGCCTCTGGAAGTGCTGGGATTACAGACATGAGCCACCATACCTGGCTGATTTGTTTATTTATTTGGTTTTAAAATCAGGGCCTTGCTCTGTCCTCAGGCTGGAGTATAGCGGTGCGATCACAGATTACTGCAGCCTCGAATTCCTGTTCTCAAGTGACCCTCCCACTCTAGCCTACAGAGTAGCTGTAACTATACACACCACCACACATGGCTAATGATTTTATTTTGTGTAGAGATGGTGATCTCACTATGTTGCCCAGGCTGGTCTTGAACTCCTGGGTTCAAGTGATCCTCCTGCCTCAGCCTCCCAAAGCATTGGGATTACAGCATGAGCCACTGTGCCCAGCATGATTCCAGAATTTATATGGAAATGCACAAGATCTAGACTAGCGATGGTATCAAAGAAAAACAACAAAGCTGGAGGACCTATACTACTAGAGTTGAAACTTACTATAAAGCTACAGCAAATTAAGACCAGGTGGTTGTCATGCAAGGTGATAAATAGACCAGCAGAATAGTACATAGGGGTTCAGAAACAGACCCTCATATACTAACAGACAGTCACCAGCTTTACAGCAGCGGTAACGCTATAGTGCAGTGGGAAGCAGATGGTCGTTTTAATAAATGGTCTTAGAAACTTTAATTGCTGTATAAAAGAAAAGGAACCCATACCTCACACCAGAAAAATCAGCTGGAAATAGACCATAGACTTAAATTTGAGACAAATGAATCTTTTAGAAGGAAATGTAGGAGAATATTTCATGACCTTGGGATAGGTGAAGATTTCTTAAACAGAACACAAAAACCACTAATTAGGGTTGGGCAACCTGCCTCATGCCTCATCCCAGCACTTTGAGAGGCTGAGACAGGGGGATCACTTGAGCCCAGGAGTTTGAGACCAACCTGGGCAACATGGCAAAACCCCATCTCTATAAAAAATTATCTTGGGAGGCTGAGGCAGGCAGATCACAAGGTCAGGAGTTCTAGATCAGCGTGGCCAACATAGTGAAACTCTGTCTCTACCAAAAATACAAAAATTAGCAGGGCATGTTGGCACATGCCTGTAATCTTAGCTACTCAGGAGGCTGAAGCAGGAGAATTGCTTGAACCTGGGAGGCAGAGGTTGCAGTGAGTTGAGATTGCGCCACTGCACTCCAGCCTTGGTGACAGAGTGAGACTCCATCTCAAAAAAAATTATCTAGGCATGGTGGTGCACACCTGTAGTCCCAGCTACTCCGGGCAGAGTGGGGATGGGTTGAGCCTGGGATGTCGAGTCTGCAATGAACCAAGATTGCAACCCTGCACTTCAGCCTGGGCAACAGAGTGAGACTGTCTCAAAAAAGAAAGAAAAGGAAAGAAAGAACTTAGATCCCAAAGGTTCTAGGTGGGGAAATTCTGAAGTTGTCATCATCCACATGTGCATATTCACATGGAGATTAAAAAAAAAAAAAAACTCAAAAGACTTGTGGGCTGACAGGACAACTACAGATTAAGAATCAGTCCTTTTCATTTGTTTGTTTGTTTGTGTTTGTTTGTTTATATGTTTATGGAGAGATGGTCTCAGTCACCCAGGCTGGAGTACAGTGACATGATATAGCTCACTGTAACCTTGACCCCTTCTGCTGCAGCAATCCTTCCACCTCAGCCTTCTGAGTAGCTTGGGACTACAGGCTCATACCACCATTCTTAGCTAATTTTTAAAAATGTTTTGTAGAGACAGGGTCTTGCTATGTTGCCCAGGTTGGTCTCAAACTCTTGGGCTCAAGCAATCCACCCACCTTGCCTCCTAAAATGCCAAGACTATACTGGCATGAGTCACCACACCCGGCCTAGACTCATATATGATTTGCAAATATCTCATCCCATTCTGTGGGTTGACTACCCAATAATTATAATGAACAAAAGAGTTACACGGGCATTTCGCAAAAAAGAATATAAAAATGAACAATAAACATGAAAAGCTGCTCAAAAATTTTTGTCATCAGAGAAATATAAGTTAAAACCACAGAGAGGTGGGACGCGATGGCTCATGTTTGTAGTCCTAGAATTTTTGGAGGTCAAGGTAGGTGGGTTACTTGAGCCCAGGACTTCAAGACCATCCTGGGCAACGTGGGGAAATCTTGTCTCTACTAAAAATACAAAAATTAGCTGGATGTGGTAGTATATGCCTGGAGTCCCAGCTACTTGGAGGCTGAGGTGGGAGAATCACCTGAGCCCAGGAGGTTGAGGCTGCAGTGGGCAGTGATTGCACCACTGCTCTCCAGCCTAGGTGATGGGAGTGAGACCCTGTCTAAAAAAATAAAATAGGCCAGGCATGGTGGTTTACGCCTGTAATCCCAGCACTTTGGGAGGCCGAGGCGGGTGGATCACAAGGTCAAGAGATCAAGACCATCCTGGCCAACACGGTGAAACCCTGTCTCTATGTTTAAAAATAAATAAATAAACAAATAAAAAATAAACCAAAAAGAGATAGCATCACACACTCATCCAGAATGGCAACAGAAAAGGAACAATTGGAACTCCTATTTTTTTTGATGGGAGCATATATCAATACAACCACTTTGAAAAAATACTTGGCAGTGGTTACTAAATCTAAACATATTGGCCCGTCGCGGTGGCTCACGCCTATAATCCCAGCACTTTGGGAGGCGGAGGCGGGTGGATCACAAGGCCAAGAGATCGAGACTGTCCTGGTCAACATGGTCTACTAAAAATACAAAAATTAGCTGGGCATGGTGGTGGGCACCTGTAATCCCAGCTACTCAGGAGGCTGAGGCAGGAGAATCACTTGAACCCAGAAGGCAGAGGTTGCAGTGAGCCAAGATTGCCCCATTGCACTCAAGCCTGGGCGACAGAGCAAGACTTTGTCTCCGCCCCCTTCCAAAAAGAATGTTATTTGCAGCCTTCTGCATAATTGCCTCAAGCTGGAAACAACCTAAATATCCATCAACATCTGAAGTTCAGAAACAGACAAAATTAATCTATGCTGATGGAAGTCAGAATAGTGGTTTCCCTTAGGTGGCCACTGACTGATAGGGTACACGAGGGAGCATGCTGGGGTGCCAAAAATGTTTCATCTGTTGATCAGGGAGGGTGGATATTGTGTGACTGTGATATATGTGAAAAATTCCTCCAGCTATACAGCTGTCACCTTATCAGAGAGGCCTTCCCTCACCACTTTATTGGAAGTAGCATTTTGCGTCCTACTGTCTTGCTGCCCTGATCCTGCCTAATTTCTCTTCATAGTCATCATGACTACCTGTTAGTTGGCTCAGACTGCCACAACACAATACTATAAACTAGGTGCCTTTTTAATTTTTTTTTTTTTTGAGACAAGGTCTGGCTCTATTGCTTAGGCTGGAATACAGTGGCTCACTACAACTTCTGCCTCCCAAGCCATCCTCCCACCTGAGCCTCCCAAGTACCCCGGACTACAGGCGTGCACCACCATGCCCAGTTCATTTGTGTACTTTTTGTAGAGATGGGGTTTTGCCATGTTTCTCAGGCTGGTCTGAAACTCAGAAGCTCAAGCAATCTGTCTTCCCACCCCTCAGGCCTCCCAAAGTGCTGGGATTACAGGCCTGAGCCACTGTGCACAGCCAACTAGCTGGTTTAAACAACGTACATTTATTTTCTCACAGTTCTAGAGGCTGGGAAGTACAAGATCAAGTTCTGGCTGATTTGGTTTCTGGTGTGGTGTGGGCTCTTTCCTTGGCTTGCAGGGAGCCACCTTCTTGCTGTGTACTCACATGACCTCTTCTCCATATGCTTGTGGGAGAGACAGCACTCTGGGATTGCATCTTATAAAGGTATTATACTTATAAGGGATCAGGATCCCACCCTTAGACCTTATTTTCCTTCATTACTTCTCTCTAGGCCCTGGATCCACATCTAGTCATGTTGGGGGTAGGGGCTTCAACATATGAATCTTGGGAGGTGGGAGGAACACAGATACTCACTTCGTATCACCAACATACCAAGTATTTGGTTATTAACATGTTTCTCATCTATCTCCTTCAACTAGAGTCTGGTCTCCCTAAGAGAAAGGACTCCATTTTGGCCACTATGGTCTCTCCAGTACCAATAATGGTTCCTGGCACCTAGGAGATGCTCCATGAGTATTTGTTGAATGAATGAAAAAAAAAAGAGGTGAGGTGGTGTTGTTGCAGCCAAGTGTTACTAAGCCAACAACTGGAAAATAGGAATAGCACAGTAGATGTTAAGACCTTGTCATTAATATTTATTAATGATAAGAGTGTTTTGTATGCTAACTAGTTTCTGCCTTGAAATAGTTTGCATTCTAACAGAGGAAAGACTTATGTGCGTTTTGCTTTTTTTTTTTTTTTTTGAGACGGAGTTTCGCTCTTGTTACCCAGGCTGGAGTGCAATGGCGCAATCTCGGCTCACCGCAACCTCCGCCCCCTGGGTTCAAGCAATTCTCCTGCCTCAGCCTCTTGAGTAGCTGGGATTACAGGCACGCGCCACCGTGCCCAGCTAATTTTCTGTAATTTTTAGTAGAGACGGGGTTTCACCATGTTGACCAGGATGGTCTCGATCTCTTGACCTCGTGATCCACCCGCCTCGGCCTCCCAAAGTGCTGGGATTACAGGCTTGAGCCACCGCGCCCGGCTGCGTTTTGCTTTTTTATAGCGTGTATTATGTTGGATCATTGCCTCTCTCTTTTTTTTTTTTTTTTTTTTTTGAGATGGAGACTCACTCTGTCGCCAGGCTGGAGTGCAGTGACACAATTTTGGCTCACTGCAACCTCTGACTCCCTGGTTAAGCGATTCTCTTGCCTCAGCCTCCCAAGTAGCTGGATTACAGGCACATGCCACCATGTCCAGCTAATTTTTGTATTTTTAGTAGAGACGAGGTTTCACCACGTTAGCCAGGATGGTCTTGATCTCCTGACCTCATGATCTGCCCAACTCGGCCTCCTAAAGTGCTGGGATTACAGGTGTGAGTCACCGCGCCCAGTTGATTATTGCCTCTTTTAAGGAAATTGTTTCTTACTTTATCACTCTATGATAAACATCTTGAATATAGGAGTCAAAGTTTAGAACTTGGTTCTATTTCTGACTTCACCACTAATTTGCTGTACGCCCTGGTGAATCCCTTTCCCTCTACCTACTGTGAAATAAAATGTTGCGATTTGAATTAAGATCTCTGAGGTCAATTCTTTGCAGCTGGAAAATGTTACCGCTTACCTAGTGTGTTGTTCCTGTTTCTAGCACTAGGGGGCAATACAAGCAACACCTTGGAACATTCTGCTGTTAGAATTCCTGCCATCAGATTAGAGTTGACGCAGGAAGATGATTGCTCTCTGCTTTGGTTCTCCCACCTCTTCTGAAACTTTAAGCTCACAAATTTGAGCCTTTTACCAAACTAGAGACAGAAACTTCCATCAAAGGGAACAGGACTGGCTGGCTCATGAAGTCTTGGATCCATTGCTTTTGAGTCTGTTGTGGACAATGTACATGGTTAGGGAGATGGCATGTGGCGAATACATTATGAGTGACAAATGGACATCCCACAGGAGGAAAACTGAGGTGTAGACTTGGATTTTGTTCAGAAGAGAAAAACGATTTAGTAACACCATCTTGCTATGATGTTGGGCTGAGATCAGCATGTGGTTGGAAGGTCCATGGAGCCTGTGCATAGAGAGGAGGACCTGTGGCCTGAACCCTAGGAGACCTGCACTGAAGTCCCAGATTGTCCAGTGAAGTGCTGTGTGATCCTGGGCAAGTTACTTCCCAAGTAGCTGGAATTAAGGTGCCTGTACAATTCAGCAGCATTAAACACATTCACAATGTTGTGCAACCATCATCACTGCCAACCTCCAGAACTTTTTATCTTCCCAAACAGAAACTCTGTACCCATTCAACACTAATCCCTCATTTCTCTTTCACGCAGCCCCTAATAACCCCTATTCCACTTTCTGTCTCTGTGACTGTGCCTATTTTAGGTACCAGATACAAGTGGAATCACATAATGTTTGGCCTTCTGTGTCTGGATTATTTCACTTAGCATGATGTTTTCCAGGTTCATGCATGTTGTAGCACATATCAGAATTCAGTTCTTTTTAAGGTTGAATTATATTCCCTTGAATGTCTACATCACATTGGTATTCATTCATCTGTTCATGAACAGTTGGCTTGTTTCCACCTTTTGGCTATTTTAAATAATGTCGCTATGAATGTTGCATACAAGTCCCTGCTTTCTATTCTTTCGGGCATACCTAGAAGGTGAATTGATGGACTATATGGTAATTTTATGGTTAACTTTTTGAGGAACTGCCTAACTTTTCCATAACAGCTATACCACTTTACATTCCTATCAGCAATAAACAAGGGTTTCAATTTCTCTGCATTCTCATCAACACTTTTTTTTTTTTTTTTGAGACAAAGTTTCACTCTGTCATCCAGGCTGGAGTGCAGTGGCATGATCTCAGCTCACTGCAACTTCTGCCTCCTGGGTTAAAGCAATTCTCATGCCTCAGCCTCCAGAGTAGCTGGGATTACAGGTGTGTGCCACCATGCCCAGCTAATTTTTGTATTTTTAGTAGAGGTGGGATTTCACCACGTTGGCCAGGCTCGTCTCAAATTCCTGACCTCAAGTGATCTGCTCACCTCAGCCTCCCAGAATACTAAAATTACAGGTATGAGCCACTCTGCCCAGCCACTTTTATTTTATCATGACCATCCTAGTGGGTGTGAAATAATATCTAATTGTGGTTTTGATTTGCATTTCCCTGATGGCTGATAATGCAAAGAATTGTTCGATATACTTATTGGCCATTGGTATACTATTTTTTGGTGTCATCTCTTTTTAAAATAAAAAATATTTGAAATACCAAAAGATATATAGGACAACACAACAAACATTTATGTTCCCACCATGTGACTTAAGAAATAAAACATCGGCTGGGCACTGTGACTGTAATTCCTGTAATCCAGCACTTTGGGAGGCCTAAGTTGGCAAATCGCTTGAGCTCACAAGTTCAAAACCAGCTTGGGCAACATGGTGAAACCCTGTCTCTATAAAAAAAATACAAAAATTACCTGGGCATGGCAGCACATGCCTGTAATTCCAGCTACTACTCAGGAGGCTGAAGCAGGAGAATTGCTTGAACCAGGGAAGCAGAGGTTGCAATGACCTGAGATTGTGCCACTGCATTCCAGCCTGGCAACAGAGTGAGACTCCATTTCAAAAAAAAAGAAAGAAAGAAAAAGAGAGAGAGAGAGAAAGAAAAGAAAGAAAGAAAGAGAACACAAAGTACTCCCCAAACTGTAGAAAACCCCTGTGTGCTCTTCTAATCACTTATTTGCCCCCCACCCACCCAAGTAAATACTATGCTAGGCTTGATGTTTGTTATTCTCACGTGATTCTTTATAACTTTATTACATCCATACATATGGCAGAATAAGAAGTGGTATTGTTTTGCATATTTGTACAGCTTATTTATTTATTTATTTGAGACAGAGTCTCACTCTGTCGCCCAGGCTGGAGGCACTGGTGGGATCTTGGCTCACTGCAAACTCCATCTCCTGGGTTCAAGCGATTCTCATGCCTCAGTCTGCCACATGGCTGGGACCACAGGCGCCTGCCACCATGCCTGGCTAATTTTTGTATTTTTAGTAGAGACAGGGTTTCATCATGTTGTCCTGGCTAATCTTGAACTCCTGGGCTCAAGCAATTCACCCACCTCGACCTCCCAAAGTGTCTGGATTACAGGCGTGAACAAGCATGCTTGGCTGACTTTAATCTTCTTGAAGTTGATCTTGTATATATTGTGATACAGGAGTCATCCCCTGACACACATACTTTTTTTTTCTATCCAACTAGTTGTTCAATAGTCAATGGCAGAGCCAGGCATGGTGGCATGTGCCCATAGCTCCAACTACTTACTCAAGAGGCCAAGGCAAGAGAATTCCTTGAGCTCAGGAGTTCAGGGCTGCAGTGAGCCATGGTCACACCACTGCACTCCAACCTGAGTGACAGAGTGAGGCCCTGTCTCAAAAATAAATAAATAAAAGGAAAAAATAAAAACAGAAAAAAAAGGCAATTGATTAATATCATTTCCCTATTGAAAACCATCCTGTGGCTGTCCCATCTTCTTCCCTTGGTCTGTGAGAGTTGCATGAATTGCCCAGACCACCCCCTCCTCCCGCCCCACCAGCCCCCTGCCACCTGGCCTCTCATTGCTCTTCTGTTCTCCAGCCACAAGTACCTTGACCTTCCTTCACTTCTTTTTTTTTTTTTTGAGACGGAGTTTTGCTCTTGTTACCCAGGCTGGAGTGCAATGGCGTGATTTCGGCTCACCACAACCTCTGCCTCCTGGGTTCAGGCAATTCTCCTGCCTCAGCCTCCCGAGTAGCTGGGATTACAGGCATGCGCCACCATGTCCAGCTAATTATTTGTATTTTTAGTAGAGATGGGGTTTCACCATGTTGACCAGGATGGTCTCGATCTCTTGACCTCGTGATCCACCCGCCTCGGCCTCCCAAAGTGCTGGGATTACAGCCGTGAGCCAATGCGCCCAGCCTGACCTTCCTTCACTTCTAAGGGGCTGGGCTCCCTAGCCTTCACTGATTTTGTTTTCACTACCTGGTATGCCCATATTCTTCTGGTTTCAGTTGATACTAGTTGCCATGGGTTGAAAGGTGACCCTTCCAAAAGATGTGTCTACCTAGAATCTGTAAATGTGATCTCATTTGGGAAAAGCATGAAATTAGGATGGGTGCGGTGGCTCACACCTGTAATCCTAGCACTTTGGGAGGCTGAGGCAGGTGGATCACTTGAGGCCAGGAGTTTGAGACCGGCCTGGCCAACGTGGTGAATCCGTGTCTCTACTAAAAATACAAAAATCAGGCTGGACTCATGTCTGTAATCCCAGCACTTTGGGAGGCTGAGGTGGGTGGATCATAAGGTCAGGAGATCAAGACCAGCCTGGCCAACGTGGTGAAACCCCGTCTCTACAAAAGATACAAAAAACTAGCCGGGCGTGGTGGCATGAGCTTGTAATCCCAGCTACCCAGGAGGCTGAGGCAGGAGAATTGCTTGAACCTGGGAGGCAGAGGTTGCAGTGAGCTGAGATCATGCCCTTGTACTCTGCCTGGGCGACAGGGTGAGACTCTGTCTCAAAACAAAAACAAAAAATTAGCCAGGTGTGGTGGTGGTGCACGCCTGTAGTCCCAGTTACTCGGGAGGCTGAGGTGAGACCATCACTTAAACCTGGGAGGCAGAGTTTAAAGTGAACAGGGATTGCGCCATTGCACTCCAGCCTAAGCAACAGCAAGACTGTGTCTCAAAAAAAAAAAAAAAAAAAAAAAACAGAAAAAGAAAAAATAAATGAAATGAAATGAAGTAATGATCTCCAGATGAGATCCTCCTGGATGACCTGGGTGGAGTCTAAATTCAATGACAAGGGTCCTCACAATAGAGGAGGAAAAGACACAGAGCAAAGGGGAAAGTCATGTGAGGATGGAGGCAGAGGCTGGAGTGATGGAGCCACAAGCCAAAGGACTCTGGCAGCCACCAGAAGCTGAAAAAGGCAAGGAAGAGTCCTCCCCTAGAGTCTGTGGAGGGAGGCTGGCCCTGGTGACACCTTGATTTAGGACCTGTGGCCTCCAGAACTGTGAAATAAAGACAGGGTCTCCCCATGTTGTGTTGGCTGATTGTGAAGTCCTGGGCTCAAGTGATCCTCTTGTCTCGGCCTCCCAAAGTGCTGTGATTACAGGTGTGAGCCCCTGTGCCTGGCCTCATTTCTGCTGTTTTAAGCCATCAAGTTTGTGGCAATTTGCTATAGCAGCCCTGGGAAAATACTAATAGGCAGAAAGCTGGAGTAGGGAGCAGCAAAGTCAGGGGACAGGGAGCCCAGACTAGAGACTGGAGAAGACCAGCAGGTGGTGGGATGAGGTGTGCTCACCTCCCCCACACACCAGGAGCAAGGCAGTCCTTTTACTCATAGGCAGGTCCATTTCCCAGGGCTGGGAGGATGGGGTGACCATGGAGGGAGTGAAAGTGACAGGGCCACACTGGAAAGACCCTTGGCTCCCAATGTCCTCAATGAAATGAACAAATCTCATTGAGACACCTTTAGATCTCTCCTCTGTGGAGGAGAGACGCAGGAGGGACCCTCAGGAGGCCCCAGGAACATAGGGTGGTGAATGAACAAATGCTTCAGGGACTCTGGTGGGCATAGGCCTTCACAGTGCAGGCCACTGGACTCACATTGTTCTCCTGTTCTCCAGCCACAGGTACCTTGACTTTCCTTCACTTCTAAAGGGCTGGGCTCTCTAGCCTTCACTGATTTTTTTTAGAAAGAAGAAAGAAAGAAGATAGTGATGGCAGTAAGGACAACAGTGCCCTGGGGGCTATCCTGTGGCCTAGAGAGAGGCAGACTCTTCTCAGAGAGAGACTAAGGGCCTCTAGCTCTGGCTAGAGCATGGCTACAAGCAAGGTGGCTAAGGTCAGGAGACCATGGTGCAGAGGCAGATGCCAGGAGGCTAAAGGACAATTCTGGAATGGGGCAGGCAGTGGGAGGGCTCCTGTGTCTTTGGGCTTCTTTGATCCCTGAGACACTTTGGACGGGACAGAGCCTTGGCCACCAACGGGGTCATGTCTGTTTAAACAAAATTTAACACGGGAGGTAAATCATTAACTCACTGAAGAAACAAACAGGAGTACAGGCCATATCTCTAGCACCAGGACTTGAGAGCCATAGGGATGGTAAGAACTCCTGAATATCAGAAGTGGCTGCCACTCACGGCTTCTGTAAGTGAGTGCAAGCATTCGGTAAGCACCTTCTATAAGTGAGTCTCCAT